TAATCGTCTAGCCTCACACATACATACATCACACATACACAACATACACAACACACACACACACACACACACACACACACACACACACAAACAAACAAATACATTTCTGTGACAAACAAATAGCTTTTGCTTTTAAGGACTGAGAGCAACAAAATTCACTGTAGTGAAATTACAACTGGAAGTGTTTCAAAGTATTTACTAATCCATTACAAATATCAATAATAATGTCATTTCATAGTCACATTTTAATTGCTTTTAAAATAAACTCTACTCTCTCAAGCAGAAAGGAACTATTGGTAGTTGTTCATATTTGTTTTTGGAAATTTCTCCAATGTCTGGCTCAAGAGAGGACAGATGAATTCTCCAATCTGTTCTGCCTTTAGTCAGTTGCAATATGTTGTTGGAATGTATGATGGGAATCTTCTCTCACTCAGATAGTTAGGAAATGGCTGACCCTTTTCAGACATTTATTTTGATCTATTGGGGGCATGGATTGAACATAGAGGTAGAGGAAGGATAAATCCATCTGAGGCTTGAGCTGGGACATCCACCTCTCACTCACATGCCCCTGGTTCTCAGACCTCGGACTTGGATGACAAGAACACATGGCTCTGGTACTCCTTCAGTCTTCAGAACTGGACTCCCAGTCTCCTTGATCTTTCAGCACTGACATTCCCCTCTGGTCTCTCTATAAACAGCACTGCATCCTCAAACTTTATCTGAACATGAAACATGATATTCCATTTGGGATACCTGGAAAAATAAAGACATGATGAACGCTGTCTGAGGCTAGCAGCCTTACTAGCTGTGGCCTCTTCTTTATCAGTCACCTGACAAGCACAACCCTAAGCCAGAGTGCTGGAGAAACAAGAGCTCCCCTGAGCTTGAGTTTAATGAACTTGAGGGAATGTTTGTGTGCATAAATAAGAGGGGGAAAGTATTATGAATATGTTTACCAGATGTTGAAAAACATTTTTAAAAAGCACTGTAGGGAACATAAAGTAAATAAAATAGCTAATATAGAAGAGGCTCACTGAGGCATTCAGTTATGCTTAGTCTGTTCAGAAATGAAAGGTTTATAGAGGCTAAAAGGAGCAAAAGACAGAAAAATTAATTGCTTACTATACCCACTGGCAGTTAAACAAAACACAGCCATATTCATTCAGATATGGTTTTAAGACTTAAAAAAAAATGCTGTGTTCGTTTATATATACTTCAAACAGATAAGTTCAGTATCCAGTTAGATATCAATCATTAAGCTTAAAGAATAAAAGCAAACCAAAGCTGTGCTCTCTTTCCAGTTCTGTGTAACAGGCCCCCAGAAAGTTAGTGGATTAAAGAACCCACATTCACTGGCTCACTTTGTGAGGGTCAGGAGGCCAGGCAGTGCTTATATGAGTCATCAGCTTAATGCTCACAAGACTGCAAGTAAGACTTTCACTGGGTCTGTGACCTCATCAGAAGGCATAACTAGGGAAGACTTGCTTCCAAGCCTTGAGCTCACTGGCAAAATTCATCTTCTTGAAAATGTAGGACTCATGAAACGTGGTCTTTATAGCTAGAGCAAAGAGAAACCCCAGTGATATAGCCAGTCCAATGTAATCACCAAACACCAAATAGTGCCAATCATCGGTTAGAATCATTCCATTATGAATGACCCCATTCCACTTGAAGATAGTGATATACAATGGCAGGATTATTGAGAAGCAGCTTGCTGAACAGTCACCTGGAAGACTTCTAACTACAGAACACAAAACTTGAGTATATGGGTTGCACATGGATATTATTTACTATGGTCAAACAGAAATATTTAACATTTAAAATACTTGACTTTCTTACTAAAAATTGTCTAAGGCAAATTCCCAATTTATGTAACACAGTTGCCAACCAAACACTACCATGTGACATTATGGAGGAAAGTATGGAGTTAGGGGGTTCAGATTTTAATTTTGCCTCAACTTCTTACGATATTTATTCTCAAACATTCTTCTGAGGGATTCATCTTACAAGGTTCTCATACCAATCAGAGAAGGTAGCTGTAAAATGTACTGATTAAGAGTTGTCTAGCCAGCCTGGGCTACCAAGTGAGTTCCAGGAAAGGCGCAAAGCTACACAGAGAAACCCTGTCTTGAAAAAACAAAAAAAAAAAAAAAAAAAAAAAGAGTTGTCTAACTAAACACAAACACCACTAATAAAAATCACAGTGTTCAAAGTCCATTATTTCCATAATACATTCTGTGACATTCTGAGATTATTTACCAAGGTTTAGCCATGCCCTTATTTTGAGTATTGTATATGGGGGAAATAAGCAATCTGATGCTGCATGTATAAAAAGAAACCTTTCAAAATGTATAAATACAAGCAGGCATAATCATACAGAAAACTAGGGCAATTTCATAGACATACAACATGAAGTAAGTTGTCTCTTCTTTGAGTCTTGTTCTTATCTAGTACCTTGGGAGTGTATTAGCTGTTCCCACAAGTGACCTCTGCCTACCACACTTGTGATGCCACTGAACATCTAGACATGCAGATGGCAGTCTCTGAGGTAGGTCAGAAATCCTGCCTTTTGTGGAGGGATATATGTTTTTATGCGTGGAAATTTTAAGAAGCACTCTCTTGCTCTGATATAAAATGAATCAAAACAATTACTTGCCTGCAAGATCTGGGTGAAAACAACATAAACATTTAAGCTCCTTTTCATTGCCTCATGCCTCTGCTCCTGATTTCAGTGGCAGAAAGACAAACTATTAATCCACAGATGCACATTGATGAGCATTTAGAATATAATTTAAACGTTATTCAGGCATCTGGAGTTTGAAAACAACTAAGAGAATAACTGGTTCTCTCTTGCTTCATCGGAAGTCATTTGACCTCATGAAGATCTATGAATAAAGCTTTAGAGGACATAAGATGTAGAGCTGAAGACTGAGGCCAGGTACCAAAACAGACTTCCATTTGCTTTAGTAATGAATAATGATGCAGAATGGATCTAGTTGTCAAGATAATTCTATCAGAAAAGAGGTTTAATTCACACACATTTTTGTTGGTAAACTCTTGAAATAATATTCAGGCTTTGGAAAGTGGGGTATCTGATCCTAGCACAATGTTATTATTTATTGGATAAGGAACCAAGTGTATGCTCATAGATTAAAGAAGAAAAAAATTCGAAGGAACAAAGATGTTTACAGGAATCAGTTCACATTCTGAATTTGCCAAGAGTTTATTATAACAATGTTGGAGAGCAATATATAAATAAAGATAATAGGATAACTAACAGCAAAGATGAGAGGTGTCATTGTTATATTTGCTTAGCAGGAAAAGCATTGAGTTCAACCATGTCTGCCAAAAAAAGAAGAAAGTGATGAAATCAAGGTGATATGGAGAGACAACAACATTAACCACTCAGTTATTGTAAAATTCAGAAAATCCTACCTTTTAAGAAAGATTGTAAGGCCCGAAGGATAAATAGGAAGATTAACAGAAAAAAATCTCAGAGTTCACAGGGGTTTAGCCAAGAGTTAGCATGTTAGTAACAATGAAGACTTTAACAACTGATTTAACTTTTAATTGTCTTTACTGCTTTATATATATTTGAAATATAAATGTTGGGGAGCTAAACTACAACTATCATGAAGCTGGCATATCATTTATATTCCCAGGCAACAATGTGAAGCAAAGTCTTTTTATTACACGACTTTAATCATCTGAAGAATTGAGTAAGAAATAATAATAGTGAACCATTATGTGCTGCTAAGATTACTATGACCTGGAGGTAGCTGACCCACCAGCTTTGCATAGAAATTATGAAGACGGCAATTACTAAATGCAGTTGAATATTTGATTACTTACTTAATAATACAATACTTCATTATGAAACAAAAAAGTAAGGATAAATAAAAGCCACGTCACCCTTTGCTAACTACTAATTAATTTTTCTTTCTATTTGTCTTTGGAGTTCCTGCTTTCCTCTACCCCCTGTAAACTTCAGGGTCAAAAGCTCCTGTTTCTTTTTCAATCTTCCTCATGATAAGCAGTGACCTTATGTGGCAATTATTTCTTGTTATACTTGATTTTGAGGGTATGCAATTATAGCCTACATGCTCATTTCCCAATAATTTGCATGGGGTAACATGTCAGAATATATAATTTCAAAAATAATTTTGTCTTTAAAATTTTCCTTTTTGTGTGCACTTTGTAATTTTACTACAATGATATGTGGCAGGAAAAATGAGTAAATATCATGGCATGGTTAGGTACCAGAGTGCATTGATGGCATCCGTAGACAAGTCCAACCAAGTGCTGAGTAATGCTCAAATTAAAACTGTGACTTCACAATGCATGGCTGTGCTGGCCCCTCTTATTTCAATTTTACAGAGCTAGAATCATCCGAAAGGAGGGAGCCTCAACAAAAAATGCCTCCATTAGATCCAACTGTAAGGCATTTTCTTAAATAGTTATGGATGGAGGAGGGGCCCACCCATTTTGAGTGGTGCCATCCCTGGGCTGATGGTCCTGGATTCTAAAGAAAGCAGGCTCAGCAAGTCATGGGGAGCATGATAGTGAGCAGCACCCCTCCATGGTCTCTGCATCAGCTCTTGTCTCCAGGTTCTTTCTTTCTTTGAGTTCCTGTCTTGACTTCCTTCAATGATGAACAGTGATGTGGAAGTGTAAGCCAAACAAATCCATTCCTCCCCAACTTGCTTTTGTTCATGGTGTCTCATTACAGAAAACAAAAAACAAAAAACAAAAACAAACAAACAAACAAAGCCCTAAGACAATGGTGACCCAAGATTACTGCTTCCAATTACACACATCGTCATTAAGTTGTTAGATATCTTTAAAGAATGTCACAAGTATTTGGGATGAATACATAAGCCATAAATGTCTTTTAACATTTAAAACTGATTCTTTGTGAATAGAAAAAATATCACACATCTGCCACTTGTGTGAAAATAATGGATATCGAAGCATAACCGTTTCTTTGTTTTTAGTTTTTCCCATGCTCCCAAGTCTCCATTTGATATTGAGAGGAGAGTTTAGTCGCTTTGTAGAGGGCAGGCTGCTGATAAGCAGGGTCTGAAGAACAGAAAAATCACAAAAGTTTATCTTAAGCAAATAAAGTTAAGGGAAAATAAATTTTCTAGAGAAGGTCACAATAGGCTTTCTTGTGTAGACAAGCTTGACAACATCCTGTTGAGAGGAGAACCAGACCCCAAAGAGTGCCGACCTAAATAAGATCATTCAGGGAAAATCACTGAGCCTTTCAGAGATAGGGAAAAGTCTGCTAAACACTACAGCAGGATCTGTGCAAGCAAAAGTGATTGTAAAGGGAGACATTGCTGAGAAATATGCTCTAATACTGTCGACTTGATTAAACCGTTCAGCACTTTCATTGTGCCTGGAGGCTTCGATATAATTGTATGCCATCACTGAAGCATCACAGTGGCATTTGATATTTGGAAAGAGAAGGCAACTGGTAAGATTCATTTGAAGAGCTTTGCATTCTCTTATGAAGTGCTTCTTAATCGGGGAACTATTTTATAAGTGGATTTCATACATGCAAATGAAGCAACTTCCTAATGGGGTGCAATAATGACAGGCGTATATGCACACACCTACATGTACCAGCTGCTCACTTAGGCTTTGCCTTTGTCAGTCTCCATTTCACTCTGCATTATCTCTGTGGTATCTTTGTCCTTTCTGAGTCCCCACTGTTCCTTTCAACATCAGTGACAGCTCCAATTCCCCCAGAGAACCATCAATGTTTACCATACCTTGCTGCACCTCATGTTCTCCACTGATAAACAATGACTCAAAGCCAATGTCAAGCAATGTCATCCAGCACATCTGTTTTGTTCTTGCAAATTGGGAGCCCTCCCCTCCGAGTTCTTGTTGCATGACGGCAGCAGAAACAAAGCAAGAAGAAGTATAAGCATATACATGATGTGGCCCTACAGCAACATCAAAAAATATAAATCCTCTTTAACCCAGATCCATGTAAACCCAATTTATTGTTTTGATTTTTTTAAATAGCATATGTTATAACCTACTGATGTTAACATAGCCCTCATAAATTTTCATATGTAAGGCCACTTTTGATGCTAAGTACTTTAAGTACTTGGATAGGAATTTTAAATTAAAGAATAGAATAACTTTCTATTCTGCCCTATGATTGTAATAGAACATAATTTACTTCTAATATTAAATATTTCCTTAATTTGGTAAAGATTCCTATTTTTGCATATTTCTGGTGATTGGAATGTGGGAAATCAGCCCTAAAGCTCAACCTAGCTTCAATAAATGTGAGTCTGAGATATTGTTTCTATACATGGATAAATCACCTTTAAGACTACGAGTGGAAAGAGAGATGAAATTGAAAACATAGGACAATTTTTCACAGCTTTCTCCACTTCCACCATTATTCTCTACCTCTTTCAAATTTAATTCTCTGTATGAGGAAATACAGTCCAAAGAGTTTTGAGATACAGTGCACCTGAAGTCATTCATTCTTCTGCACTTCAGTGGTTTTCAGTCTTGCGGTTTTGTCTGTTCAGGTATTTATGTTTGATGCCTAGGTGGGATATTTGTGTATTTACCAATAAAAATAATTTTAAAATTTGGATCTGAAGTTTAAATTTAAAAATGGAATAACTTTCTATTCTGTCATTTGGCTGTCATGAATCTTATAACTAATCAGTTACCATATGATTGCTGATTTTTTTTAGAATTTCTTAAAACTTTTAGAACGTTTATATTTGCTGACAAACAATTAAAACCGCTTACTAGATATTGAATGCTAGCACAGGTCTTAGATCCAATAAGAATATATTAATGGCTACTGATATGGAAGGTTTTTTGTAATATCACCTCTGTTTAATTGGTTTAATTTTAGGAACAAACACAATTTGGGGTAGCTCTGTATTCCAATTATTTTCAATGCAGTGGATACAGGGTCTCCTTGCACAGAATGATGGAAGTGTCACAGAGTATGGCCTAGTGTTCCCATTCTAATGACATGCAGGCTGCCAGAGCATTTTCAGTGCAGAGGGAAATGTATCATATCCCCAAATGCCACTGGATTAAGAATTCTGACAAGGAGGCAATTAAAGAACATTTACTCCCCTGTTCATTTCTTTACTTCTCCTCCAAAGTCATCTCCACTGCATTCCCTAACAGAAATGAAACAAAGAATGCATTACTGAAAACAAGCTAACTAAAAGGGCTGTAGATATAATAATTCAGCAATTATAGTATTTGATCAGCATGGGCAAGACCCTGGATTCAATCACTAGTACTGAAAAACAAAAAGGTAAATAAATGAAAAATATGTAGAGTATGGTCTTGAACCTTATTGTATTTCAGATTTTCAGATTGAGCTCAGTGTAGCAGAAGCATGCTCTTGAAGGTGTTGTTTGCTCTTAAATAGTATGTATTGTTTGACAGACATATGACAGATTGCCCATGGGGCTCTCTGGTTCAAACATACTGTCTTGGGTACAAGCTTGGACCTCTCATAGAAAATAAGACTATAACAAAAACAAATCAAGCAAAATAAAAGTCATATTTTAATTTGACTGGAAAAAGAGCCATTATTCAACATTCTAAGTTTACTCTGTACTTCACTCCAGGGGAGGACTGCAGCTCTATTCTAAACTCTAAAATTAATAAATGCTTCCTTTTTCACTAAGAGATTGACATTTTTTTCTTGTTTGCTGATTTATCAACATATAGAACAAATAGATAGCACACTAATAGTAGATTTTTTTTTAAGACAGGTTTTCTCTGTGTAATTTTAATTGCTGTCCTGGATCTCGCTCTGTATAGGAGGCTGGCCTCACAGAGATGCGCCTGGCTCTGCCTCCCGAGCACTGGGATTAAAGGCGAGCGCCACTGTCGCCTGGCTCATAGATTTTTGATCTGCTGCCAGTTTTAAAGTATAAGAGAAAAGCACAGTTTAAAGAGAAGTTAAGGACACTTAAATAGGAAAAAATGGGAATAAATAATGGTCTACAGAGTTCTCTATGTTTCTCTTTCTGTCTCTGTTTCTCTCTGTGTGCCTCTCTCGGTCTCTGTTTCTCTCTGTGTGTGTCTCTCTCTGTTTTCCTCCATCTCCCTCTCTCTTGCTCCCCACTTTCTCTCCTCTATCAAGGTACCCATGGAAGTTTTTGAGTATCAAATTATTTATAGAATCTCTTCTTTCTACCAGAATCTATAAATTCAATGGAATTCTTAGTATCCCTAAAAAAATTCATATCCATGACATGTATTAAGGAAAGAATACCTTACTTTCTGTGAAGTCAACTTTGTCTTTCTAAAAACTAGCTATAGTAAGAACTAGAGCCGACTGATTTTTACTGACATTCTAGATCCCAGAATGGCAAGTAAGTAGATAGGTTATTTTGTTCATATAATATGTTGCTAATAAAAAGTCTACATAAGAAACATCATTATGAATTAAACACAGAAAATTTTCTGTGTTTGGACTCTGTGCTAGTTAGTGTCTTTGTCAACTTTAAACAAACTAGAGTTACCTAGGAAGAGTGAACATTAATTTAGGAATTGCCTCCATCAGATTGGTCTGTGGTCACATCTGTTGGGCATTTTCTTGACTAATGATTGATGTGGGAGGGCTCAGCTCATTGTGGGTTGTGCCATTCTGGGTAGGTAGCCTTGGTTTCTATAAAAGAGCAAGCTGATCAAGCCATGGGGAGCAAGCCAATAAACAGAATTTTTCCATTGCCTTTCTTCAGTTCTTGCCTCCAGGTTCCTGCCTTGAGATCCTGCTCTGATTTCCCTGGATGACAGATGATATTCTGTAAAATGAAACAAATCCTATCTTCCCCAAGTTGGTTTTGGTTAATGTTTTATCACAGAAACAGAGAAGCAAACTCGGATGTAAATTAAAGAAAATTAATTAGTTCCACAAAGAACAAGCAAATGTCTATGAGATCATTGAAGTGGACTCAAAAAGAATGAGTCAATAGGGCTTTTTGAAATGGTACCAAAGTATTTTAACTTAAATCCCAATAACTAGGCACAATAAAGTTTACTGTGTACAAATTGCTAAGACATCCAGTCTTATGAAAATGACAGACTCCTTGGAATTATGACAGTGTCAGAGTTAAACATCCAGTGAAGTCAGGTCTTAGTAGCAATCTGCATCTTCTGGGCTGTAAGCATAAAATGACCCTCGCTGCATCTTTTAATTTATACAAGCTATAAATAACCAAACTATTGCTCACGTATCATTTAGCTTGCAAAACAGTTAAAGGCATAATTTTTCTTTTACTCTTTCTGAAAAGCTGGACATGTACACGTTTTGTAAATTTCCTTACATGATATATTAACACCTAAGTACTAATCATTTGCTTAGTTTTAAGCAATCATCACATTAAAATCCAAGAGAAAAGAAGATAGTAACAAGCCAAAAAGAAAAACTCGATTTTTATAAAATAAGAAATTGCACTGTCCTTAAAGTATTTGTAATAGTACAGGTAGGGTACAGAAGTGACCTGTGGGTGGTTATTCTGGGACCATAGTTGTTTCTCTGCTGGACTGTGGCCATGATCAGTCTGATGAGGTTCACAGTGAAACTATCATGAACTGTGTGAAAGATAAGACATAGTGTAAGAACAGGACATAAAATCCTGCAGCACATATCAGTTTGCTTTTTATCCACCATTTACACTTCTTAAAGAATATAAGAGAGTATTTTTAGCTAGAAGAACACAATGTGGTAGGCAGCTAAGCTGCAAGGTCCATCTGCCCAGGTGTAATCGAATAGGGCCTTGAGTTGAGGTGTAATAAATGACTCTCCACACTGCCCAGAAAACTCTGTCCTCAAATCAAGATAAAAAGAAAATTAAAATCAATCTTTTATCCTTGGGCATTAAAAAAACAAAAATAGAAATGTCATTTTTTGTCCAAAAAGTTTAGAGCTATATTTCAAAAATATTCACCATATATTTGATAGATGTTCAGACTTCTAATATCTTTATACAACTGAAACTTTGAAAACTGCAGCCCTCATCTATAAGCTACTAACAACTTAAAGACTTTTATCAGAGCAACCTGATATAATTAGCTTTCCAGCATTTATGAGCTTATGAATCAAATGTCCAGCCTAGCATACATTAACAGACATTAATTGACTTACATAGTCATGCTCTGTAAGGTGTTCAGGAAACTTGGTCATCTAGCTTTCTTCTTTAATATTTCCATTTAAGGCTATGAATTGAAAAGACATCCCTGACAGTTTCAATCAGCATCAATGTATGCTTGATATTAAGTTATGAGTCCATAGCCATTTTGAAATATTCACTGGCCATCATAAGAAATGGAAGACTCTCTTATGCCTGGATGAAAAGACTATTGGTAGGCAGAGAGGGATGTTTTTATCATGTGCCATTTGTCAGTAACTGTCTTAATATGAGGTAGATGGGTCTTCTTTGGAACCTCAGTTCTCAGAAATAAAATATTTTACATCAGACTGAAGCTGTGAAGCTACTGAATAAGTGAAATTGCAGGATATTGTAAAGGTTGAAGGTAGGTGTGTTGATATTCTGAAAATATTAGATTTCAATTTGAAATGGAAATAGCATAACTAATGACCTCAGCACAAGCAGAAAGGGAATTCCTTCTTGGGAAAATATGTGAGTTTGAATTTATACAATCATTCACTGAGATTGAGTAGAGGCAAGTATCTGAACGTCTTACCAGGACTGGAGACCTTTGTAAGATACGTGAAAGGATGAATTACCATGCTCAGATACACCACCTTACATTTTCCTTTATTTGTGTTTGTAGCCAAGAAAGAAATCGACTCATTTTAGGAATATTTCTTTGTAATATGCTACCTTTAAGAAATCGATCAGATGTTCTTTTATTTTCCCTTTACTTTGATCAGACGTATTTGTGGGACAGCTACCATGGCTAAAACACTGTACTAGATGCTCACTATCCAAGACTTTGATTCTATACATTTTTAGTATATTATTCCAGAACCTACCATACTTCCTGACAGAGTTCAAGGTTACTGGAAAATATAAATTAGATTAAAGTAGACATTGGAAACTTTAGTGTGTGTTTGTGTCTTCCATGTGGGTATGTGCAGGTTTGCAGACATTGTCCTTCCTCAGGTGTTGACTCCCTTACTTATGTTGAGACAGGGTCTCTCATTGATCTGAAGCCTGCCCAATCCTGGCTGATCAGCAAGCCCCGTGGATCCTCTTCCTGTCCTAGTTAGCTTTTATAGCTGTAACAAACACCACGACCAAAAGCAACTTGTGGAGGAAAGGGTTTATTTCATCTTACAGTTTCTATAGTCCATCACTTGAGATAGGAACTCAAGGTAGAGCCTGGAGGCAGCAACTGAAGCCGAGATGATGGAACAACACCCCTGACTGGCTTGTTCAGCCTGCTTTCTTGTGTAACCCAGGACCACTTAGTCAGGAGTGGTACCATCTGCTGTGATTTGGGCCCTCACACACTGATCATCAATCAAGAAAATGTCCCATAGACTTGTCCACAGGACAACCTGATAGAGGTAATTGTTCACTAAGTCTCAACTTTCCCAGATAACTCCAGCTCGTGTAAAGTTCACAACATCAAACCAAGCTAAACAGTGAGTGCGCACCCTCTCCCAACAGTGCTGAGAACGTATAAGCACCACATTCCTGGTTTTTCCACGGGGGCTGGGAGTCAAACATGGCTGTTTGCTGAGCAAGTAATTATGGGAAGCACTATTTCCCAAGCCCTAGTAATAGACTATTACAAAAGATGGCAAAAGTTATGTGCTGAGATACCATTAAACATAAATGATAACAAAAATTTTATGAATAAATGAACATTTTAATTTCTACAACTAAATATTAAAACATCACAATTTTATTTTTCCCAAAAGTTTTCTTTTGAAATTCATGTTTCCTATTTCTTATTATATTTTAATAGAAGTTATATTAATGAATCAACCTGTAAAATTCATATTTTCTACTTCCTGCCTACCACCTACTTACTGAATACATTTTAATCCAGTGAACTTCTAAAGACCTCTAAGACATCATTATCTACCATTTCACCTCTGACTCACTTCTGTGAACATCCAAAAGCTTAATTACCTTTTCTTTTAAATAAACTCCTATTAGATGAAATAAGCCAGGAACAGAAAGACAAACACTGCATGATCTTACTCTTATGTAGAATCTAAAGTGGTTGATCTCATAAAAGTTGAAAGTAGAATTGTGTTCTCTAGAGATTGAGAAGAAAGGGAGCAGCAGAGAAGGAGACATGGGTCAACCAGTAACACAGGACAGTTTGATAGGATTGAGTCCTCATATTCTGTTTTACAACAGAGTGAATATAATTTAAAGCAATACACACCAAAACAGAAGAAAGGATATATAACTTATCTACCTTGAAGAAATCATAATTTTTTGATGGAATTTGAGTCAATCACTATGCAACATCAGTCAAATGCCAAAAAAATGTACAAACAGAAATTAGCCAATAGGAAGTACTATTCATAGAAAACTGAAGGTTTTTTGTTTGTTTCTTTGTTTGTTTTGTTTTGTTTTTGAGGATTTTTTTTTCTTTTCTTTTTTTTGGTTTTTCAAGACAGGGTTTCTCTGTGTAGCTTTGTGTCTTTCCTGGAAATCACTTGGTAGCCCAGACTGGCCTCAAACTCATAGAGAGCCACCTGGCTCTGCCTCCTGAGTTCTGGGATTAAAGGTGTGCTCCACCACTTGGCCAGAAAAGCTGCAGTTTTTCACTTACTATTACAAGATAGAAATTGGGTAATACACAGCAATTAATCATTTAATAAAATCATAAAAAGATGTGTATGACTATTTTATGTCCTAATGATTAGCAGCTCTGGTCCTGAGACTCTCAGTGTGAAGTCCTCAAACAGGAAACAACAGATCAGCTGGGAATTTTTAGAAACTGATTCAGGAAACTGGACTCATCAGTTGGTTCTAAGATACTTCACCAGTTATTCTGACTTCTAACTATTTCTGCTATCACAGTTCTACATTTTCACACAGTATCTCCCTCTTTGACCATGATGCAACACCTGTATTCCTCTTTAAGAACCTAAGTGCTCAAAAGAAGACATCACTCCTCATTAACTAATTTTATTTTTGATATTTGAAGTTGTTTTTACTTATTCTTCTTCCAACTCTTCCCAGATCCTCCTCACCCAACTCTCTCTCTCTCTCTCTCTCTCTCTATATATATATATATATATATATATATGCACAAAAAAACCCACAAAATGTAAAATATAAGAAAAATATTCCAATTAAGACAAAAATAACAAAATGAAACAAAATGTACACACACACACACACACACACAAACAAAAATGGAGGTCATTTTGTGTTGGACAACACAGTTCTTGGGCGTGGGGCCTGTCCCAGAGTGTGGTTGATACATCCAGTGATAATCTATTAAAGAAAACTTGATTTTCCATTTATCAGTGGGTCACTATTTAAAATGCATTTTTAAATTGCTTAGTAGGATTTGGTACAAAGGGTTCCTAGGAAGGTGAGGTTAGATGTGGGAACATCTGAAACAGAATCCATACAGAATAGAACAGTTGCTGAGCACTCTCTCATGCCAAGAGAATCATGAGTTGAAGCTAGTGAATCCAGCTACAGAAAGTCACCTGTCATTAATCAGGAGACTTCAAGCACACCATGATTCAATGTGTAGAAAACAGGTTCATATTTTTTTTTCATTATATCATTTTGAACCCTGACATACATCCAGATCAATACAACAGAACACCAGAGAAAAACACCATTTTATTTAAGAAAGTCTAAATTACATCATTCTCAAAGTGGTGAATGCACCTGTTCCCCCAGTTAATCAAAAATATAAAACTTACAAGCTCAGTCTTGTTTTGCTTTTTTTCTTTTTATATGGAAGATATATACCGCCAACATTTGAAAACAGTTTTGAGAGAACTAAACTTTGCTTTTTCTATCAACTCAGAGCTCACACTAAATAAATAAGTGCCTGAAGTCAGGTCGAGTCAGTTTTATAAACCTTTCCAACCCTTGTGGAGCCCCAGAATGACATAGAAGCAGCATATCAGAGGAGTTGAGACCAGAGTCTGTAGCTAAACTGACAAGATGTGGGTCTTAAATATTTTCCGTGTTACCATGTACAAACACAGCCAGTTATTTTGCCTTTGTGTATCCCAGTTTTCTCATTTGTAAAATGAAAGTCATTGCCTTGATGGGCTTAATTTTGATTAAGAACTAATATTCACATCATAAGGAATATTTTAAAATATATATTTTATAAATTCTACTGCAGGCAATCTTCTAAATTTGTGGGGTTTGGATCTGTGGGTTTGTCCTGAATAGTTTTGTCAACTAGGCACAACCTAGAGTCATCTAAAAGGAGGAAACCTCAATTGAGAAAGTCCTTCCAAAAGATCCAACTATAGGACACTTTCTTAGTGATTGATGGATGAGGGCCTAGGCCACTGTGGGTGATGCAATCCTAAAGCTGGTGGTTCGAGGCTCTATAAGAAACAGGATGAGCAAGCCATAAAAGAGCAAGCCAGTAGGCAGGACTCCTCCATTGCCTCTGCATCAGCTCCTGCCTACAGGTTCCTTCCCTGTTTGAATTCCTGTCCTGACTTCCTTCAAATGATGAACAGTGCTGTGGAAGTGTAAGCTAAATAAACCCTTTCTTCCACAACCTGCTTTTGATCATAGTGTTTATTCACAGCAATAGTAACCCTAACTAGGATAGGATTCAACCAACTATGGAAAGAAAATACGTTTTATAATTGTATTTGTACCGAACAAGTATAATTACTTTTCCTGTTGTTATCCTTTAAAAAATTATAGTGACAACTATCAATATAGCAATTACATTTATTAGGTATCATAAGTAATATAGAGACGATTTAAACTTCACAAGAGGATGTTGAAAGTGATATGCTAACATGATACCATTTTGCACAAGAGACTTTGGCTGGAATATAGTAAGAAATATGAAAATGCTTATCAGTAAAAATAGTCCCATCACAGTTCCAAAGCATTAAGTGCAGTTAATAACCAAGCTGTATATAACTTAGGGCATGTATAATATACATTTTAATTGCATTAATCTTTCTGGGAATTTTTTTCAACATTGTTTCTACAATTGCATGAATGCAAAAATATTTTCTTTTACACAGCACAACACAATGATTATGAGAGGGCAAAGTTCAGTGGTGTGCTTCTATTTATCAATAATTAATAAAAGACAGGTCCAAGTGATTACTATTTTATACATAAGGAAGTGAATTTAATACCAGCCATCTTTATATGGTTAGTAAAATCATTATAATGTCAAATGAATCACATAATTCAAATTAAGGCAGTAAACAAGTGGCATGTTATGTTATTTGTCTCAATCATTCAGCTTCTGTTCTTTTTGATAGCACTGCTTATTTACATGTGATGTGCTAGCCAATGAATGAAAACTTTTAGACAGAGAAAAGTTCATTTATAGAAGTGCCTATAAAGTTATATTTTATAAAATTTTATTTTAGTTTTCTTATTAAGCAATGCCCAAGGGGAATATAAGAAATACTATGATACTGTTACTAAAAGTGGCTTAGGATCACAGAGTTAGAAAGTGAAAACGATATATGTCCACACAAGAAATAGGATCAGTTATCAATATTGACTATATTAGCTAGAAAGTCTTCCATGAAACTCCCATTCCCCAATAAATAAACGAGATTCATTGCATACATTTTAAATGGTCATCTGTATTAATGTGAAAACAGCCAACATTTTAAATGTTTTGCTTCATGCGAACAGATGACTTACAACAACACACCCTGTCAAGTAATTGCTGATGCAGCTGAAGTGGCTAAAGAAAAGTCACACCCTTTTGTCTTTCTCATTGATAATTTGGGTTACTCCTTGAAAGGCTATCATCAATCATGTCCAGAACAAGGCCCCAGTTATTCCTTTGCTGTAATAAAAACAGCTTCCTTATAAAATAGCCCTCTACCCATAGGGAAACTGAAGTAGTATTACTGTCAAAAAAAATTCCAGAGTCCCGGTAATGTAACATTGCCACTTATAAACGACAAAGAGATGATGTTGCTTTCTTTGCACTGTGATCTCTCTCATCTCTTTATCTCTGACTTTTTTTTACCTTGCTTCTGAAAAATAAAAGGCATCAACCTATTAAAATGAATAAAAAAGCATACAGTTGAATAAACACACGATCAGCATGTGTGAATTATCTTCCTATAAATGTGAAATGATTAGAGTGTGACTGTGTTGTTGAAATGGAGATGATGCAAAGCAATGCCGGGCCTCCAACATGAAGGAATTCACATAATAACAACAGGTGTAGGCTAAAAAACATTTTTCTGCCTAAAAAGGAAGTCTGTAATTGGACGGTTTACTGCAGAGAGGACACAGATCTAAGGAACCTGGCAAAGAAAAAAAGAAACAAACAAAAAGAGAAAGAAGAAGAAGAAAGAAAACATACAAAGATGAGAAGAGAGTTGAGAAAGCTGAAGGGCTGGAGCCCAGCTTACAAATGGGGTAATGGTAAATGATATGCAATTGATATGAAGGTATAAGAGGCATGTCAGAGGATGTCTAACCACTGAGAATCATTGGGATTTTTAATATAAAATATGCACTTGAACTACCTAATTGGAGGGTGAAATAGGATAGAATTGGGGAAATGGTGATGTTGGTCATAAACATAAAAAAAATCTTTATAATAAATATGTCAGATATTGTGGCATTCAGCTTAAAGCAGTTGTTTCATTTTTGTCTTCAAACAAACATTTTAGGCCAAACTATTGTCTTCATTAGCAGAAATTAAAACTTATAATGAGCAAAACCACCAGTCAGTAGAATACACCCACCTAACCCCAAAGCAGTGTTCTTCTGTCTCTAGAGAACAAAGGTCACACTCCACTGAACAGTATACTAGCTACAACATCATACCATCAAACCCAACAACAGAAAAGAGTATCAAGAGGAAGAGGACAACTACCATTTTGTCCACAGTTTTGTAAAATGTCTCAGCCCAAACACAGTAAGAAGAAAAGATGTTAGCACAGGAGTGTTGTAGGTGGCGTTTTCTCCAGTCCTGCCTGGCCCATGGTCAGGAGAAATCTCTTTCACCCAGCAGTCCCGCAGCTGCTTAGACCCAACCAAGTAAACACTCACAGACTTATATTATTTAAACTGTTTGGCCTAATGGCTCAGGCTTCTAGCTATCTAGTTCTTGCATCTTAAATTAACCATATCTATTAGTGTATAAGCTGCCACGTGGCTCGTGGCTTACCGGTACCTTACATCTCACTTTTCATGGTGGCAGCTGGCAGTGTCTCTCTGCCTCAGCCTTCCACTTCCCAGAATTCTCTTCTCTGTCCCGCCTATGCTTCCTGCCTGGCTACTGGCCAATCAGCATTTTATTTATACAGAGCGATATCCACAGCAGAGTGTCACAGGTACTATGTAGTTTGTTGGTGGAGAATCTGAGTATCATGTGCAAGGCCCTGACTGGATGCCCACTACTGCAGAAGGAAAAATAAAGGAAAGAATATGTAAATAAAACAGTGCATTTTTCGATGTTCTGAAGGAAAAAGAAGGTCACGAGTGTCTTTTCTCTGATAATTCTGCTGTTTGTTCATATAATTTCTACTGTCATTATTTTTGGATATTGTGTAAGGTAGATAACACATATTCAGTAGTCCATGTATTCCTTCTTCAGGAATCTTTTTGTTAATAGGAAGTGAAGATGTAAAGCTATGATGTTCTATATAAGATGCTTCCTTGTCTTCAAAACTCTGCTACACAGATGGGACAGGTACGATTTAAGAGTATGTCTTACCAGATTTACAGAAGATGCTTCTGACTTATCCCCCTTATAGAACACTTTTCTTAAATGTATCAAATTGATAACTCCTTAAAAATAATCTGTGTGCATCAATGGTAAACTTCACCAATCATTTTAAACCCTTTCTAGAGATAACAGTCTATTTTTTTTTTCAATTTTCCACATGTGATAGTGCTGAAAATGGAAGCAGACTCTGTATTTCCTATTTTCTTTCAGCTGTGATGAATGGAAATAAGCTGTGATGTTGCGTTATAGTGGTGATCACCGTCACTCCACAGCTGAAAATGGAACATCTTTTGATACAGTTTATATCCTGTGCAAGTTAAATGCAGGAGAATAATGATAATGGGAACAATAGTAATAGACAGCAGAATTATTGGGAAAATGAATCTTATGATCTTCCTTCTTGTCATAGCATTATGAAATGCACTCGGTTTTATTTAAAATACATTATTTATTTTTAGTTTTGCAATAGTGGAAATCCAGTCAGGCCCTTGCACATAATATACAAGTGCTCTATCAATGAACTATATTCCTAGCATATTATAAAATAGTGTATTATAATATGTGTAGGGCTGGACTCAAACATCTGATTTTTCTACATTCAACCCTGGAGTACTGGGATTCAAGAATGTGCCACTGTGCCCAATTGTATTGCATATTTTTATATTTAAACCAGGTCATTGTTTATAGTGGCCCTATTAGAAGTATTTATACTGTCACATTCTCCATTCCTATAATGGCATTTCACCATTCTCTCCACCCAGTCTATGAAGTATATGTTACAGAATGATGAGGGAAATATTTTCAAATCTAGGCAGCTATCTACCTACATCTTTGATTTAAAACTTTTCAGAGTAATAAGTAGATCAACAGGAGAATGAATAAATGAGCTAAATAGAAGAATTCACCAATTATATAAATGTGATTTTGTATCTGACAAATTATGGTTAATACGGAGTGTGTTCTTATGATGAATTCTAATTTCTCTTTACTAGATACATGCTTAAGATATTTTATGTGGGCATGGGTAATAATTTAGTCTTCATCTCATTCTGTTAATATTTGCTCTTCTGGCCATGTATTTCTGTTGCAATAGGGTTGTACAAAGAAACACAGCCTTCTTGTTTAATGATAGACTAGTGCTGTCTTTGGCATTAGGCAGTTGAGTTCTTGTGTTCCCAATTGCTAAGTCTCTACAGCTTCAAGTAAACAAGAGACAAACCCACCTTTTTTGTCTAGCTTCTGTGAGGTGAATAGGCCTCCTTTCTTCCAAAATAAAACAGAATGGTCTTATAAATTTTGCATTTTGTATTTGACTTAACACTCTATGTTTTGTCACTGTTGTAAAAAAGTATAATGCAAACACCTGTTCCACTAACATGACAAACAGAGATTCCTCTCATTAGTTCAAAATTTTGAAAAATTGACCAAACCTTCCTAATATTGAGAAGTATTTGTTGGTCACTTATATGTCAAGCAGGTACTTTTAATTAACATTTAAGACAACTAAGAAGTGGTAGGAACCATTATCATTTCAGTTTTACAGCTAAGGAAATAAGACTCAGGAAGATAAGAATCACTTTCTGTGACATTTTGCCCAAGATCACACTGAGAATGAATTATAACTGGCATAAGGATGGTTAGTCACTGGGAGCTGGATCCCATCTGTCTCTGTCTGTTTAGTTAACCCTGATCTCTAGGTCACAGTTTCTTCATGGAACTCACCACATCTTTATAAAGCAATTATCAATTCTAATGGTGAACCCGTTGAAAACTACAATGACATTTTTTATCAGTTCTCTACTAAATACCCAAGCTTAACACACACACATTTTGCATTTCCATTAATAATGATATTTCAATGGAATGTATAACCATATGTCAAATGTCGTAATAATGTTCATTTTTAACACTGGATTCCTGTTTTCCCAAATATCAATTTAGCTGTTGATCCGTCCAAATTAGACATGCCACAGCTGAACTCATCACATCCTTCCAAGCCATCTCTTGGCTTTCTGTCATCTCTGGGGATATTATCAGTTGATATTCTATGACTTAATGGCACCCAGTCAATAAATCAAGGAATCACTTTGCACTCTACCCTTTAGTTCATGTGTTTATATGCCATTTCCCCCAACTATTATGCTCAAACTCTATTCAGAGCAACTTCCCAATATCTCTGTATCTCACGTCATTCCATGAATTATGATTTTAGTAACAATATCACATTAATCTTAGACAAAAGCTATAACTTTGCTCTGTTACCCCCCCTTGTTTTCATTCTCTGTCGTAGTGCATATTAAATTTCCATAATAATTTACCTCAAATTCAATGTTGGCTATTTAATGCACTCTCCTTAAAACCTAAGATATAAATGTTGGTTTCTAGCTGGACCTAAGCACATTTGCATCTCATCATTCTTGCTTATTGAATAATTCTTTCCTAATAGTCTTGCCCAGTAACTGATTCATGAATTCTATTGTATTTATGGAGATTGTCTGTGTCCCATACATCAATGTCCCAGTTCACACTGTTAATATATATTAATAATATTAATAAATATTAAATATATATATATATATATATATATATATATATATATATATATATATATAATTGTACTATTCTTCACCCTAAAACTTTATTTTCTGTGTGATCATGACACATATCACTCCTGTCATTTCTCCAACTGCCTTATTAGGAACTGTTTGTTATGATTACCAGATCCAAAGTTCCTCCAGATCATGAAAACTGCTACATCTTCATTTAACTTATGCCTACAAATGTGAAAATAGGCACACAATAAATATTTATTGGGTAAATAAGAAACTACCGAGACACAGATGGATGAGAAGTGTTGCGTATCTCAATCCTCATTATATGAGCTGGAAGAAATTGAATCATTGTCAATTTCCCATCATAAGTAACTAAAAATGCATTCTATTTACCATTGTTTAAAGAAAAATACTTGCCATTACCCATATGCATTTTATTCAGATGTTAGTGTTTAGTCTTTAAATTCTTTGATGTAAAGTAAAATCTGAAACTTCAATTTAAATTTATGATTAAATAAGATAATCTACAAACCTATCTGTAGTGCACAATGAGCTCTCAAAATGTATTTAGTGATGTCATGCTATCAATTTCCTAACCCAAAGTGCTAGAAACTTTAATTTCTTAACATATCAACCGAATTTAGCAACATGTCTTTAGAAATAAAATGTGAACACCCACCTTACCTTAAACATTCTATAAAAAACAAACCCAGAGAACAGTTAAAAAGTAGCATTCGTCTTCACGTTGGTATCTCTTAAGTTATTCAAACAAAATATACCAAAGCACCAAAGAAAAGTAACCAATAGCCTTGTGTCTAATGTCTTGACTATCGAATGAAACTGAACATGGAGAATTTAGGTCATTAAAATAGATTTATTATTCTACCATCAAATAACAGTTTCAAGTTTAATTTGAGAAATCATATGTGTTTGTTTATTCCAGGAAATCAACCCCCTAATTCTCTTTCAAATAACAATATAGTAGGTAGTGTTTGTTATCTAATGAATACAAAGTAAAATATTATCAACCCCTTTTAAGATGAAGCAAGATTTGTATTGATGGAACATGAAACTAGAGTAAATGAATATTCAGTAGCCTTACAAAAATGATTGGTTTTCCAATTGCATTTAAAATGGCAATTGGAATCAATAGTCTGCCATTTTAGAGGACATGCTCTATTTCATAAATACAGAGCATAATAATTAAAAATGCTGTTGTCAATAGGCTAGAGGTTAATTGCAAATACAGCCAGAAGGCCAGTGCTGGCTGGGGAGTGTTTAAAATGAACAGGATGAGTCCAGGAAAATATTTGTGCATCTGTGAGATGCTGAAGAATCAATCCTATACTGAGCTGGAGGCTGTAGTAACCACAATACACAAATGCTTAGGACAAACACTAAAAGGATATTTAGACACTATCAGCACCCAATCATTCCAAAGCTCAAAATTTTCACAAAATGATGATTTTTTCACTTCAGTTATGTGAATTTTCAGTATCTCCCAATGCAGTCTATTGCCAGATGACTTGAGATTAGGCAGATCCTTGACCTTCTTGAAAATTACTGTTTCCATATAAATATGTACAGAAATTGGCTAAACTGAATATCATCTAGAGTGAATTTAGGTACATATATTTTTTTAAAAAAAAAAGTGAAAAGGGAAGCTAAAACTAAAAATAGAATTTTCCTTAATTACAAGATTGAACTTAGTGAATTTTATCTCTATAAGAAAACTCTTAATTAATTATACCTCTTACTAACATTTGAAATACAAAGTGAACAATTTATTTAAAATAGTGCAATAATACAGAGATAAATAGTAAATTCTCCTTCTCATCTTCCTATTCTGTATTCTATTAATTGCAACTAGTATTAAAATTTGATATATAACCAGTATATTACTCCTCATGCACGTGAACATTTGAAAAAAATATATAGATATTTTATTTAC